CATTCATTTTCTGATTGGGGGCTTATGGGGCAACAGTCTGTGATCAACAACCTATAACAAAGTTAAACAATGAATTAATTCAAAGTTCCCCATAAATGCCCAAATTCATTGAATTCAAAAGAGAAAACAATTTTTCTGGGATAAAAGCCCAATCTTGCCTTTCTCTGATATATTGAGATTTATGCCAATATTCCTACCTTCTTAAATTCAATAGTGACAAATTTCATTTTATACTATGAAGTTCATAGCGCAGATTACACATAAAAATCAGTATTATGGTTTCAAATTCATGCCCCATGACACTCCATTATTATAAGCTGAGGGTTTTACGGACAAAAGTGTAATATTATTAATAACTGCAGTAATGATCATCAACAGAGAGAAAATTAGCTTCTGCAGTAACATCACAAACCTCCTAGATTCAAAGAAGATGCTTTGCTCATTCTGGGAGCATGTGTGGTGCTGAGAAAACAAATGAACAAACACAACCACATCTCAAATTACAAGTTATGGAGATGGAGAATAAAAATTAAAACAAAGTAATTAAAAACACAGTGATAAGTACACGATTAGTCAGAAACACACTGAGCCACAAGTAGCAGAAACCCCTAGTGAATGTTGGGTCTGAGAAGAATTAATTTAATTGTTTCATATAACAATTTACTTGGGGATAAATTAACACAAGTCCAATTCTGTGGTCTGAGCATGATGTCAGGGTTCAGGGAGTTTTTACTGTTGTCTCTATCACTCTTTGGTTGTGACTTTCATTCTCATGGTCACAACATGGTGTAACTGATGTTGGTCATCATTCCCACAATCTAGGAAAAAAAGAAGGAAGGAGCAAAGGCCAAAAGAAGCAACAAGCCAAATCTCCCTATTTTAAAAAAAAGCTTCCCCATAAACTCTATACAGAAATGTCCACATTTCATGGATCCAAAATGAGTCGCTCATTCCTACCTGGAGAGAAGAATTTTGGTGGTGGCTAAGTGGGTTCTACTAATAAGTGAGGAGGGAACTGGAGAAGTCTAACCCTACAGGCAATCAGCAATGTTCTCCTTGGAACTCTGAGAACTCCAAAGCATTATGGGATATAGGTCAATGGTGATCTTCCAGAGGGAAGAACAATTTAGCATAGCACTGCAATACTGTCAATGATAAGTTAGGTGGGAAGGCTGGTAGAAGTACTCTCAGGAAGGGGGGACAGGAAGAGCATTCAGATACACAGAAGTAGAGGTGGTCCTAGCGCATATAGCTCATTATACCTGGAACGTGGGCTTTTTGTGGGGAGCACAAAACAGGAGAGGGGATGACTACAGATAGGTCAGATTTTTGAAAGCTCTAAGGAGCACTATGGGCTCTACCACACCACATAGCTTGGTTTCATGAAGTTATACAGTGCTGTGGTAGCTCAGGAGGCCTTGCAGCTGACATCACTACCTGCCTTAAGTCTCCCTCAGGAGGATCCTCTGGCAGAACAGCATTCCTTATCTTTTTCCCCATTCTTTATTTCCCTCTGCAAAGAGAAACTCATCTGATATTCATGAGCTCAGAGAAGTCACAGGGCACGCTCAGCTCAGTCATCCTTCTCTGTCTCTCCATGTGGCAATTTTGCAGGGCCAAGTTCTTGCTGTAGTAAGGAGGCCTGTGGTTGCCCAGCACTCCCCGTGACAGTTTTGTAATCTGCTCCTGATCTGGGTACAAATGCTGAGAGTGTTCGGACGGTATCTCTACCCTTACATCCTGTGCTTCTAAAATTGCTCCTCCAAAACCACAAGAGTTGCTAACAGTGTCTATCCTGCCTCAGTGTCTGTCAGTCATGCTAGCTCCTCCCGTTCCCTTAGACCTAGGTGAGGAGATCTGAAACACCGGCAGTCCGGTTCAGGAGCTCTGCTCCCTTCTGTGGCAGGGCACTCCTCCGTGGAGTGTTCATATGCCTAGTCGTGACTTTTCATGAGAAATAAATTTAGTTGGGAACTCTGCCTGGAGCTCTCATCCTGTACATTTTTGGCCAGAACTCTCCAGTGTCTCCAAAACAAAGCTCTGCCTTAATTGCCTCTGGCAAAATACTTGAGAATAAAATCCAAAGAGAAGGCAAGTGTATTGCTGACATTGACGGCACCAAAATTGACACATTTGCCTGGCTAATGGGTTTGTGTCAAAAAGAAAAACAGTGAAAACAGAAATTCAAGCTCCACAGTCTTCACCTGGGCATGTTCTCTAGATTTATGTGGAAGGCTCATTAGGATATTCCCTAGCCTCTCTTGATTGGAAAACATAGGCTACAGCTGTACAAACACTGCTCAAACAGCTTCCAAAAATATCAGCAGAGAATGGCAACGTCAAATAGCAGCTTTAATGAGAGGAGTGCTGCTCAGAGACAGGAAACTTGCAAATGTTGAATGTGGGGTGGGAAATGCAGAAAGAGCTGCGTAGAGGTAAATGCTGAAAACCAAGAGCTGAGGCTGAGATGGGCCAACTTCACCCAAAGGATGGAAAACAAATAGAACCACCTCTGCATTTCACCCTAGGCAGAAATACAACACACATGAGACTTCTTAGAGAAACTTCCAACCAATGAAGTGTAAGTCCATGATAAATGATTTTTAAAACACCAGAGTCACAAGTTTTCCTGTCATCATGACAGATCAGTCTGAGGATCAGAAGCAGGCTGCTGTTTCTCACTTCTACCACTGTCAGGCCATTCAGGCACAGAATGGTCAAACTGACAAGTCCTTAACTCAAGTTATTATTTTCTTCTCCAGTTCTTCTAGAAAGTAGGGCATATGGCTGGAAGATGTTAGAAAGGGGAACAGACGGGGGAGAGGAGCATACACATCGTTTCTACAGAGTGTTGTCTTTTCTGTGCTATTTGCCTGCTCGTGGATATTTGGGAAAGCCTCTTTTAGCAGAAGATGGAGGCTATTACAGAGATCCACAAATAGTCAAAATGCAGAGATTAAGTGACCATGGGGTGCCCAGCCCCTATTGATGCATCTATAATGCAACCCCTCTACCCAAGGCTCAGGGAAGGAGTAGAAAGAGCCAGAGGACCAGGACGCCTGCTGCTAGTGACTTCTAGACATACTAGGGAAGCTGCCCCCATGAAATCTCAACAGTAAGGTTGCCTACACAAGACATAGTGATTCTTTGGGGGTTTTTTGCTTGTTTGGGGTTTCTTTCTTTCTTTTTTTTGGTTTCTTTGAGACAGGGACTCCCTGCAGCCCCAGTTTGCCTAGAACTCACTATGTAGACCAGGCTAGCCTCGAACTCACAGAGATCTACCTGTCTCTGCCTCTGCCTCACTAGTGCTGAAATTAAAGATGTGAACCATGATGTCAACCTGGTGAGTTTTCTTAATAAAAGACAACCCTCACCCTTATACTCAAACTAAGTCTGGGAGAGCAGTGTTGACTAGAAAATCTTCCCATGCTAGACCTTTCTTCCTTGATTATGCCCCGGCCCTTCCTTAGAAACTGCAATTGTCTCATGCTTTTACCTTCCTACCTATTCAGAATCCCTACAAAGCTGGGTTTCATAAATATCTAGAAAGAAAGTTTGTTGTACTTTATAAAGAAAATTAAGGCACTATTTATATGTACTGAAAAGAAATAAAAGTCAGGAGCCATGAAGTCTCTCAGGCAGGTCGCGTACCGGTCAAGAATTCCAACTCGCCGATAAGTAAGTTTTATGGCCGAGACATCTGGCTTGCCGATAAGTAAGTTTTATGGCCGAGACATCTGGCTTACTGATAAGTAAGTTTCATGGCCGAGACATCTCCAACTCACTGATAAATAAGTTTTATGGTTGAGACATCTGGCTTAGTGATAAGTAAGCTCCCCGCTCTCCCTGTAGCATTTTGTAATAGTTTAAACTAACCAATAACC